GTAAGAAAATACTAAAAGCGTGTTTCGAATAATAATTACAATATTTATTCATGCGAGATTCATGCGACGTTCCCTATTATTTTACATGACATTTTAAAATTTCGTCTATCACGAATTTAACTCAGAGAGAGAGAGAGAGAGAGAGAGAGAGAGAGAGAGAGAGAGAGAGAGAGAACGTTGATAAGAAAATCCAAAAAGAAAGGAAAAAATAAATGAATAAAATGCGATCTGTAATAAAAAATAAATAAAATAAAAATAAAAAGTAAAGAAAGAAGAAAAAGAAATAATAATAATAATAATAATAATAATAATAATAATAATAATAATAATAATAATAATAATAATAATAAAAGTGCATTAGTAGGATTCACTAATCAAAGTTCTGCATCTTTCTCTAATGCCACTGCTTGTGAAAGAAAATAAAGAGAAAAAGAAAAAGAAAAAAAGAAAAAAAAAAAGAAAAAAAGGAAATATATGTATACGTGGATACTATAGTCTTCCTTTATGACTATACCGCTAGAAGATAAATCGTTGTAAAAAGCATTGACTCTTGGATATAAGATTATCCGCACATGGACATCGTCCACGGACGACAACGTTTATGGCACATTCCCGATTTAGCGATAAGCCACATAACTCTTTCAACTCTCCCTCTCTCTCTCTCTCTCTCTCTCTCTCTCTCTCTCTCTCTCTCTCTCTCTCTCAGCTATATATTTTCAAGCTCTTACCGCTAAGAAATCCCTGAGAATCGTTCTAACGGTCCTACTACCGTCGCCATTTTCATTATTACGACGTCTGAGTATAGTCATTTTCTTTACTTACTTGTGAAACGTAGTTACATGGGTACATATGTGTCGTATATACGTGTCCGTGTACAAATATGTGTAACACTTTCATAAACGATATTTTTTTTTCTTTTCTTTTCTCATTTTCTTTTTTTTTTTTTTCATTTTTATTTCAGATACTTTTCCTGGGTTGTGTTTCTTTTTTTGTTTTTTTTTTGTTTTTTTTTTTTTGTTTACATCTATCAAACAAGGATTTCTCTCTCTCTCTCTCTCTTTCTCTCTCTCTATCTATCTATCTATCTATCTATATATCTATCTATTTTTCAAACTTGAAAACGTTGAAAAACTTTTTATTATGTGTTCCCATGCGTACCGTTGTTTGCTCCTCAAGTGTACAGTTATACAGTTATACCGAGGTCTCTTCTCAATTGCTATTATATTTTTTAACAATGGGTTAAAAAAAATATCGTTCCATAAGAAAATAACCAATGAATTTATATACGTCCCGCCTTCTCCTCTTTCTCCTCTCTCTCTCCCCCCGCCCCCTTTCGCATCCCTTTCGACAGATCGAAAACAACGATAAAATTTTTCCTTATTACCATAACTCACGAGGAAAATATATAGGAACGATTAGTCCAATGTTTTTACATAATTTAACTTACGGAATCTTGTAGACGTTCATCTTGTAATAATAAATTTCATATTTTATTTCTTAATGAAAATGTGATGCTGAATGCAATTTTGGAATTGAAATAAATCATTCTAGTTTATGCAACAACTTAACTAAACATTTCTCTGGTATTAAGGGATTGGATTAGAGCCAGTTCTATTCTTATATTTACTTTATATGTTGTGTTTACCGAGATACAAGATAAGATGTTATTGCATCGATATATTCTTATCGAGAAAGGAGGAGAAGAAGAAGAAGAAAAAAAAAAAAAGGTAATTAATTAATAAATGAACGAATGAATGAATAAATTAAAAAAAAAAAGAAAAAAAGAAGAAAATCGACATATATTTGTTTAATTTGTTTAATTATTTTTGTTCTCTCTCTCTCTCTCTTTCTTTTTCTCTATTTTTTTATTTGTTCATCCGTTCGTTTATTCGTTCATTCGTTCGTTCGTTCGATCGTTCGTTCGTTCGTTCGTTCGTTCGTTTGTTTGTTTGTTTCTTCGTTTATAACTTAATTGCGGTCACAGAAGACAAATATCTATGCGAGTGACCCTGAACATGACCGTTCTCGTGTTCAAGATGAAAGAGTAGAAAAATAATACATATACATATATACATAGTATACATCTTATATATTCTTTTTTCCTCTTTCTTTCTCGCTCTGTCTGTCTCTCTCTCTCTCTCTCTCTTTCTCTTTCTTTTTCTTTTTTTTTTGTTTTTCTTTTTTGGCACTTCGCCATGATTCTTCACAGCTGTTGACATTTTTAGTATCGTGAATATAAACTGTGTAATCATATGTGAACACATAGATGTGTGTGTGTGTTCACAATATTCACATGTATGTGCGTTCATTAATCTATATATATATATATATATATATATATATATATATATATATGAACAAAAAAAAAAAGAAAGAATGAAAGATTACTTATAAAATATCCATTTTCGATTTCTGTGATAAACAGTTTGATTAGATTAAAAATGAATTAAATGGTTGGGAAGTGGGATAGAGGGGGAGAGAGATTGGCGACGGTGGCGGCGGTGGTTGAAGAGAGGGGGGGCAGAGAGGGAAAGGAGAACACTCCGCCATTGAATTGGATAATGAAATGAATAATAGGGTGGCTCGTGCCACGATCACTATCATTAAACGGACGCTCCGTGCCGGTTATAGAGTGGCATTAATATCAATGTGGTGTGGCTCTTTGTAAGAGTGGTGGACGGACGCGTAGCTTCTCTTTCAAAGACCTGTTCGACAAAGATCTTTACGAACGAAACAGAATGGGGGAAAAAAAAAAAAAAAAAAAAAAGGAAAAAAAACGAATGAAAAAGAAAAATAAGGAGTGCCCACTGAGAAAATATATAATGCAACGATAATATTCCGATCAGAAGTCTGATTAAAGAGAAAATGAAGAGGATAGAAATAAAAAGAAAAAAAAAAAATAGAAAGATAAAAAAAAACAAACAAGAAAAATTACAGTGCTTGTAATTTTGACGATGTGACAATAAAAATGAAGAAAAAAAAGAAATAAAAATATTAATTTAAAATATCTCGTAAAAGAAAGAGAGAGAGAGAGATAGAGAGAGAGAGAGAGAGAGAGAGAGAGAGAGGCGCCTTAAAATTACTTAATATTACAAGATAAATATTTGGTTCGATAAGGAATAAATATTTTTTACAATAATAATCATTCTATACTGTTACATATATTTATTTATTTATATTCTATAGTATATATATAAAAAAAATTATGGATACAATTTAAAAAATTATATATATATATATATAATTATGAGTGTTATTCATAATTTTTTTTTTGTTCAAATAATAATAGTAGTAATAATAATAATAATAATAATAATAATAATAATAATAATAATAATAATAATAATAATAATAATAATAATGTCTTTCTTGAAGATCATCATAGATGATGGTTAATCGATGACGAAGATTATCGGGTTAATCCTCGTAGCAATATATTCGAGGAGCCACTTTCTTAAAAAAGAACTTTGGAAAGAATGAATCGGAACATTCTCGAGGAGTCAGAAGAGCGTCGTAAAGGCAAGTCTGCGCGAAGCATAAAAGATTCATTTTGTTGGAGAGGTGACCCTGTCGACCCAGCATCCGCTCTCCGTGGGCGTCTCTCTTCTCAGCGTTTCTACACTCCGTAACATACGTTCTCTCTCTCTCTCTCTCTCTCTCTCTCTCTCTCTCTCTCTCTCTCTCTCTATTTTGTCCATTTGCATATTCCATCTTTCCAAAAAAAAAAAAAAAACAAAAAGAAAAAGAAAAAAATAAATAAACGATCGATTCCCCGTCGAGTGATAAATAAAATTGACACACTTCGAATAATTAGAAATAAAAGAATGTATTAGACGACGAAACGATCTATTTCAATTAGAAAATTATCTTAAATGCCGAAAGAGAAACTCTTTCTGTGAGACGATGGAATATTATTGATATGCAATTTTTTTTTTTTTTTTTCTTTTTTTTTATACACCGAGCTTGGAAAAAATTAAAAAAAAAAAAAAAAAAAAGAAAAAATAGGAAAAAAGTAGAAAGAAAAAAGAAAAAAAAAAAAAGAAGAAAAGGACAAGTTTGGACATAGGTGACGAACTTTCACAAAGGCAATGCGTTAAAACGTTAGACACCGGATGTATTTAATCTGTGGTTATAATGCTTCCACGACTGAGACGACCGAGAGACATAGTTATGATAGTAATTACCGGTCCGACGCCGAGGAAACCAACTTGCTTTGCTATTACTTATGAACGAGAACGAAAGTACCAAGTAAGTAAGTAAGTACTTACTCTCCTTCTCGTGCATCATACGTAATACCTATTAATTATCCTAAGTCGAGTTTTGCATTAAAAAAAAAAAAAAAAAAAAAAAAAAAAAAAAGAAGAAAAAAAAAGAAAAGAAATTCAACCATATATACCATATATTATGCGCGCAATAAATTTTCTCTTTTAATTCCTTGATTAATGATAATCGAAAGAAGAGATTTAAAAAAAAAAAAAAAAAAAAAAAAAAGACCAAGTTAATCTTCGAATTAATTTAAAACAAAACGAAAAAAAAAAAGAAAAGAAGAATAAAAGACAAAGGAACGATACCGTTAAATAAATTTCTTATTAACAAAGTTAATAATTGATAAAATAAGAACGAAAATTAATAGTTCTTGTAGATATAATAAAATAAAAGAATCTTGTCACAGTTGGATCATGTACGAAATCGATCAAACGATTTTTTTTCTTCGATTCGTTATTAAATCATTCCTATAATGAATGATTTTATTAAAATAGAGAAGATATTCACATTTTTTTAATCGGAATTTTTAATAACGACAAAACATATTAGTGCATATGTATATATGTACGTATGTATGTATATGAGTATGTATGTATGTACGTTTTAATACGATATCATAAGTCATGAAATCTTTCGACGTTAGACACCCCGTTGGCATCTAATTTCGATATATATTAAGTTCCATCGAATCAGATTTCCGATGACATAGAAGCGATACGCACGATCTCTTACAG